AAGATTCCAACAGAACCATTCTCTTGTTTCAGCATTGACAGCCATAATTTATCAAAAGTGCATCACACATCAGGTACTATATTAAGTACTTTAAAGGGACACAGGGTTTCAAAATGGCGCTGAGTGTCAGCTATGCAGGTTGGTTCTAATATATGGCTGGAAGAGACCCAACAGTGGCCAATCTGTTTACACAAGAGCCAATTCATCAGCAAGGAAGATGCTTAAAGACTACATTGATAGATGGTTCAAAGATGAACAATCTCAGGGGAGCTCTGGTGGCCTAGTGGCAATCTCCTGTACCAGTCAGATCTGATTTGATGGTACACACACACACAATTTAACAATCTCCTCCCATGCAATTTTACAGCCTCTGAAACCCAAAGGAAGGTCAGTTATGAGTGGGTTCCAAATCAACAGCACCTAACAGAAACATACAGTGAGAAAGCTCATGCTGATCCTGTAAGTCACAGACAAGAGGCATACTTGCCAATGCCTATGGGTGTTGCAGCCTCTTCTTCCATCTGGCGAGTGCGTAAGGGATGGGGATTGAGCAGTTCACTGCCGTCAGGTGTCTTCCATCTGGCGAGTGCATAAGGAAGCGATGGGGATGGAGTTGTTCACTGCTGTCAGGTGTGATGGCTTCCAGTGACCAGACACCCTGCTAGGTCCTCCGTGTCCTCCTTACCTCTGCTGCACTTGAGCTCACTATTACTATCACAGTGTCTCCTTGAGCATCTCCTTCGTTTCTGGGCCCTCTTGTTCTGGTGGCAAATGTTTCCAGGTTATCTGGAAAGTCAGTCCTTGTTCAGATCCACCAGCTGCTCTGCTAGAGAAAGATGGGAAGCTTCCTCTCACACATGTTGGAACTGACTCAATGGCAGTGGTCCTTCCTGACAACAGTCCTTGCCTTTAAGCCTCACCCTTGCTGCATGCCTGCCAAGACAGATTTGTTTCTCCTTTTGGCTGTTCTGTACTGTTGAGTTGGAATCGACTCCTAGCTGACCCTCCGGTGGGTTGTAAATCACACGAAGAAGGCTGTCCCATCTTTATCCTGCGAAGATGCTGGTGAATTTAAACCGCAAGCCTCTGGGATGGCAGCACAACTCATTCTTCAACACAATTCAAAGGCATCAATCCTTCTTCAGTCTTGCTTTTGCACTTCCACATGCATAGGAAGCAAGTAAAAATACTATAGCCTAGGCTAGGCATGTCGTCTCTGAACTCACATTGCTCTTTAACACTATAAAAAAGACCCCTAGGGAGCTCTGGTGGCCTAGTGGCAAAAAGCTGGGCCGCAATCCTGAAGGTGCATTGTTCAAATCCACCAGATGTTCCTGGTGGAGGAGGGCAATCTCCTCCTGTACCAGTCGGTACACAACAATAACAAGAGGCCCCTGGCAACAGGTTTACCCAGTGTCATTTCGTTTCTGCCATGGCTGCTTCCATGATGTCAACTGTGGATCCAAGTAAAATGAAATCCTTGGACTTTTCTATTTATCATGATATTGGCTATGGATCCAGCCAGCCACGAAGAGTTTTGTTTTCTTTATAGAGATGTAATCTATGCTGAAAGTTGTAATCTTTGGTCCTCAGTACGTCACATCTTCAATTTCAGTAAATAAAGCTGTGTCTTCTATATATCACATGATGCTGAGGAGTCTTCCTCCAATCCTTAGTACATACAATTTCCTGGATTACTCACTCAGCACACAGATGATATAGATTTGGTGAAGAAACACAACCCTGATGTGCACCTTAAAAAACAAAACACTATGAAGTAACAACTTGAACTCTTAAACACAACTGAGTATTCCGAATTCCCATCTTTTCAAAATTGTCCATAATTTATTATAATCCTTGCAGCTAAATGCCTTTGTATAATAAGTAAAAACGAAGTACACACTTTCCCTAGTGTTCTCTTTCAACCTAGATTCTCTAGTTCCCAGCTTCTGAATCTGGCTTGAATTTCCAGTAGTAACCTGTGGACAGCTAATCCAGAGTTTCTGAATAATCTTTAACAAGATTTTACTAGTTTCTTGTTCAGTAACTTACACATTGTTGGATCCCCTTCTTTTATAATGGGCGCAAATATGGATCTCATCAACTGGCCCCCACTTCTTTGAAAGTGAGCACACACATGGCTGCACATTGGTTGAATCACCTCATGTCAAATCCTCGGGCCTTCCTTTCAGTGCATCCTACACTAGGCCACCTTCTTCACTGTGGTTCTTGGCCATAGGGTACTTGAAGAAACAGTACAGTTCTCATCAATTCTTTTTGGTTCTTTTAATCTGTTGAGGAAAATAGAAATCCTAACAGTACATGGATCTCCATAAAACCAGCTCAATGTGTCAAAGAAAATTCCTGATAGCCAGTTCTGAGGTCCAAGGACAATGCTCTCTGTAGGATTTTAATGTTGAAAGAATAAACCATAAACTGTGATGTGGTTAGGTGCCACTGAATGACCAATCGGAACCCTGTCCTATCCTCATAATCTGACACACCATTGTATTAAAGGCCTTCTTTGGTGCTGACCCATCACACTTCCAAGCATGATGTCCTTCTTTAAGAAATGGTCTCTGCATGGATGAAGCTTCACCATCTTTGCTTCCAAGGGGAACTCTGGTGGCACTTTGTTCAGGACAGACTTGTTCTTTTGCCAGGGCAAGGGACAAACCCTACAACTCTAAGGGACTTATTCTTCTGTCATCCATAGTCACTATCCAACTTTTAGACACAGAGCAAATAAAAGTCCATGGATTGACACAGGCATCCTTTCACTTCCAAGCTGACACTTTCCTCTTCTGCACTTTGGAGAGGTCCCAATGTTGAGTCGAAGACATCTTTTTCTTGACTGCAAGTAATCAGGGTGTTGGAGACAGTGCTCACTTTGAAATGACTGAACCCCTCCCCACACCACTTTCACTTGCTATACACAACTGACAGGCCCTTAAGGCTTTCCATAATGTACCTGCTCTAACTCCCAGTTCTTAGAGTCTAAGGGGTAGCTACCTCCACTCAGGGGCTAGTGGCTGCCTTCCCCCAGAGAGGAGGCTCAGAGCTCCTGCAGAGCTCAGGACCTCTTTGGAATGGTTTCACTGTGTCCTGAGTTAGGGCTTTAGAGGATGTGTTTAAAATGAATTTCTTTAAAGTAAAATAAAGCTAACGGTGAAGACCAAAATAGTATGGCAGGTTCCCTCTTCAAGAAGGAAAATGGGCTCTGAAATAGGCATTCTTCAAGAAAACAGCATAGATTACGGCAAACTATCAAGCAATTCACTCCCACGTGAAAGTACTTTGTTTAATCAAGTAATGTGAGGTTAATTAATTGCCCTTCTTTGTGCTGATTTAAAAAAGGGTCAAATACTATAGAATATTCAAGAGGGAGGGAGCTGGAGGCCCACACTTAGCGAGAGTCTTGGTCAAAGGTAAGTTTTCATCAAGTCATGGATGCTAAAAAAAGAACTCTCTTGCTGGCCAGGTGACGTGGAGGAATGTCTAGGAGGAGCAGTGACCTTGGCTGGCAGGGCCCTCAGTGTTAGCTGTGTAAGGTCACCAACATACTACTACAGTGTCCGGCCACAGCTCAGAGTTTCAAGCGATGCCACGTCATTTAAACCACTGCAACTTCTGGGTGCAGACAGCGCACCCCAACCTCGGTCTTTAAAGCTGTTCCAGATGTTACTCTGCAGCTGCTGAGTGGCTCAGGGAGTCAGGTTCCTTCCTCTTGCCTGTAATCCCCACCTTCTGACTCACAGACCCATCTCCCTTCTGGAAAAGGCCAGAAGTCAGCTCAGGACACAGCACCCCCTACGTGTTGTGTTTTAACAAGTAGCCATTTCTTCAAAGAAAACTTCCTGCAAGGTGCTGTGTCCTGACTTGGGGGAAAACTATAAACATGTAACCATTATTTGAATACAGGGTGTATGAGGCAAGTGGTGTTAACAGTTAAGCTGCTAACTAGAAGGGAGTCCACCTAGAGCTATGTAGTAAGAAGAGCTTATTGGCAATCCACTTCTGAAAAAGCAATGAGAACCTTAAGGAGCAGTCACACTGACATACATGGGGCCCCCACAACCTGGAATCAACAGTGACTGGTGAATGAGGTCTATGTAAAATAACTTCCCAGAACAGAATACGGTGGTACTTATCATATACTTGGTGTTTGCTTTTTGGTCAAGATTTGTGCATATAATCCCTCTGTGGTCTTTGTGGACTGGGAAAAAGTAATTATTTATAGTCAGAGTACTACTAAACACACAATACACAAAATCAACAGGTATAATAATTTTAATTGAGAAATACTATTAGCCCTTGGTTTACCAGCAATTATCACTTTACTTTGGAAGACAAAATTGCTCACAGGAAGGTGAAAACTTCTAAATCTACTTTTAATTTACTATATATATATATATTTTGAGAGCTTCTATGTTTAAGTATTTCTTAAAAAGGAAGGCTCTTGTTGTTTCAAGTATGAGAGAAATCATTAAATTATTATTCTTCTTCCCCACAGTCCTCACCGAAACACACAAAAAACCCCCAAAACAAATCCAAACCAAAACCCCTAGGATCTGAAAAGGGGAAATTAATGTAAAATAAAAAAAAAGAAAGTATAATTAGTATGAAATTAGTTTTTTATTTTTACTTCAAAATAAGCATTAACATTTCTTCCCAAATAAAAACTAATCACTAAAAAAGAGTGGCCAAATTTTCCTTTTCCAGGGAAATCAACAGGGCGGCATGTTCTAGCTCAGCTGTCCACAGGACTAGTCTGCGCAGAAACACTCGCTCCTCAACTTCTCTCTACTGTCAGTCACACAGCGCCTGAGAGTGAAAAGCACCATCTTCCTCTCACAGAAACAAACAACACACAAAGGACTGAAAAAGTTGGGGGAACCTTGTAACAAGTAGCCACTTCTTCATAGAAAATTAGCTGAAGTGTCTGGTTGGGGAGCTGATGAACACGTGTGAAGCAAATCTGTACTTGTCAGTGGGGCTCAACTCAGCCACAGCTCACCATTCACCAGAGAGATGCCTTGAAGTTGAATTTCAATTTTAGCAGATACTTCAGATGTACCTGAGCAATATCATAGACAATGTACCTGGAGGGGAGGCAAGTCAAGGAGCAAACAGTTTGACAATGGAGCCCATGCACACTGCCCCCTGGACAGGACGAACCTGAGGGTGAGCAGAGCTCTCCAACCGGCTGCAGCTTGGTGCTAACCAGGTGTCACGCCCAGGGTTTCTGTGTGGGGCAATGCCGGTCCCTCAGCCCAACCTCTCTCGGGTGCTGGCCTTGCCAGGCAATAAAAGAAGACAGATAAACCAGGGAAAGCTCAGATGTGAGCTGATCTAATCCTGGAGGGTCAGCTCTCTCACCTAGGCAGGGAGAAACCATTTAAGGAGGTGTTCACCATGATATGTGTTACCTGACGGCTCTGAATCTTAGCCTTTCCCAGGAATGTGACAGAAGTGATTCTACAGCTCTGGAACATTGCTTTGGGCACATTCACATACAGGAAAAAGGATACTCATTATATAGCAGACAGGTGTCATTCACACCAGATGGAACCCCAGTTCCAAGAGGAACCTCCACACCATCCAGGTTAATAGTAGCCGCAGGATCAGGGGTCGTTTTACCCAAACCTACAAACCAGAAGATGGAGAGAGAAGAGCGGTGAGAAAAGAGGTGGAACACAGCTCATTCTACCTGTATGCTGTTATAATGTCACAAAAATCCCATGTTTCACCCTCTTCTAGACAGAACACTGAGGCTGCCTGAGCACCATCCCTAATGGAGTTTAAGGAGGAAACAGTACCAGTCCCCCAGAAGTCTGAACACAATCCTGAGGCAGCCACTGGCCCTGATCCGTGGACTGGGCTAGGACTCCAAAACTTTCCAGGTGTTGGGAGAAGCTGGGGTAAAGTCCAAAGCCAGTACATCTGGTGTTGATGTACAAATATTCCTTTAGGAAGCCTGCTTTACTAGGTGGAGCCAAAGTAAAATGCCTGCTTCATGATCCCTAAGTCACTCCCCCTTGAAGTAACCTTGGGTAGGGGGTGAGATGAGCTCCCACTCTGGCGGCCCAGTGCCTGGAGGTGTCGCACTGCCGAAGAACCACATTACCTTTGACACTGTGCTTGCCTTTGGGTAACTTGCTGATATGTGAAGCATGCTTCAGCTCATACCTGTTAGAGAGGAGATGGTGATCAAAGTCATGTGAGAACATGGGATCCACGTCCCAGTTCACTGCCCTGTGTTCCCACTAAATTCCAGAGACAGAAGCACAGCCTTTTTGAAATAGTCTGTGACTAGCGAGCACTGTAGTGGGTCTTTTTTTATTGGTATTTTAAAATAAATGATATTTTAAGTTTACAGAAAACTTGGATTTCCAATTCATTCATTCATTGTTGCATATTTTTCTCCCTACCCACCATCCCAGTTAGTTTTTCTCTTTAAAAAGAATCTTTCACTGCTGCACAACTTCCTCCTTCCGCCTGCCCCGAGTCCAACTTTATTATGCAGCTTTTATTCTAGGCATTTGTCATGAAAATAATACCTAATCATATATTTCTTTTAGGCAGTTCTTTCCCTCATTTGTTTCAATGCAGTATACATTATTTATCCTCTCTTATTTTTTCCTCAACCCCAATGTTTTATAACAGTGGCATTATGCAGTATTTGTCCTTTTGTGACTGACATATTTCCATCAGCATAATGTCCTCCAGGGTCACGCATTTTGTATTTTTTAAGTTTCTGGTTTTTTCAGTGCTGTGCAGTATTCCACTGTGTGAATATACCACAGCTTCTCTATCCATTCGTTTGCTGATGGACACTTGGGTTATTTCCATCTCTCTGCTATTGTGAACAAAGCTGCAATAAACATGGATGTGCATATTATCTGCTTGGGTGGCAGTTTTGGTTTCTTTTAATGTATATTTCCAGTAGTGGAATTGCTGGGTGAAGTATTTCTATTTCCAACTTTTTGAGAAAGTGTTATACTGCCTTCCACGGTGGTGGTGCAACATTTTGCACTCCCACCAACACAACCTCACCAGCATTTGTTGTTTGCTGCTCTGTTAAATTTTGCTATTCTGACTGGGGTGAGAGGCTATGTCATAGTTGTCTTGATTTGCGTCTCTCTTAGAGCTAGGGATTTTGAACATTCCTTCATGTGCTTGTTGGCTATCTGAATGTCTTCTTTGGTGAAGTGTCCGTTCATATCCTGTGCCTATTTTACGACTGGGTTGTTTATCTTGTTGAGACGTAGCAGGTCCTTCTTAATGACGAGTGCTGGGAGACAGTTTTTTAGGTACCCTTTTATCCTTAAGAAATCTTAGACCTCTGGTCTATCACATGACTTTGCTCTTTGTTATCGCTGATTAACGTGAACAGGTTTAGCTATGGATAAGCAGAGCCCTAACCAGCCAGTTGTTACTACGGTGGAGAATCTGTACAGTCATCTCTCAGGACAAGAGGGATTCTCTCCACTGTCCACTCCAGGCCATTGCCATCAACCACCACCAGCCTCAGGGTTGGGCTTACTCACATGTTTCCAAGAGCAACTTCTCCCAACAGGATCAATCCGACTGGGTCTCCCTGGGACGTGTGGCAGTAGTTGGCACTCTTAGAGACCATGTCAGCGAAATAGATTCCTTTACCAAACATGTAGCCAGTCTGTAGGGCGGGAAGAGAGACAAGTGAAAGCTTCCTACTGAGAAGTTAGTAGCAACAGACAGTGTATGTCAATTAGGACCCAAAAAGCAATGGAATGCTTGAATAAAGGGAGAATCTTAGATCAAAGTGAGCAGAATGGATTGCTATGAACCATTATGCATCAGTCACAGGGCCCGCCAGGGCAGGGATGACAAAATGAAGGGAAGCAGTGTTACATTCACTGTCAAAAAGAACATGCCAGAGATCTAGCCTGAGGTGCAATGCTGTCAGTGACAGGGCAATAGCACTTACAAAAAGGCCAGATAGTGGTGTTCAAATTTATACAGTAACCATGAATCTCAAAGATTAAGGCAGTCAAGATTTTCACCAACTCCTGCAGCCTGAAAGGGGTCAAACGCCATAAAAGCTGACTGACAACTGATGGGAGCTGGAACAGGGAAATCATATGGAAAGATTAATAGTTGGGAAATATGGCCTTGGTGATTGAGAAACAATGCCAGAGATACATGGCAGAATTGTGTTAAGACCAATGATCTATTAACCAAAATACACAGATGACATCATCTTTCTTGCCGAAAGAAAAGGACGCTTACTGATGTAGACCAGGGACTACAGCCTTCAGGAAGGACTATCCCTCTACACAGAAATCCCCTGCCACCAGGCCATTTACCATGGCAAATGGAGAAAACACTGATGCTGTCATGGACTGCATTTTATCTAGATCCACAAGGCCCACGGCAGCAGCAAAAAAATTCAATGGTTTACTGTAACCCCCAAATCTGCTGCAAAAGACCACTTTTTATTTAAAGTGTCATTTAGCAAAGATGTCGCTTTGAGGACTGCAGAGCAACTAATCCAAGCCACAGTATTATCAGCTGCTTCATATATATGTAAAAGATGAACCAGCAGTAAGAAAGATGGAAAAAATCCCTGATATCCACAAAATATTCAATGTATGGTGGGTAAAAAATCGGGCTGGCAACCCAAGGGTGGTTCAAACCCATCAGTTAAATCGGAGGGAAGATGGGTAATCTCAGAAAAGCAGGTGGAGGGTAAGCAATGAGCCAGTTTTGACGACAGCAATGAGCTGAGTTTTTAACAGGAGAAAAAATCAATTTGTCTGAAAACAGCACAATCGTAGCTCCTTAGAAGTGAGGGTGAAGATCATTTCACACATTATGGAGATATATCAGAAAGGGCCAGTCCTTGAAGGACATCATGCTTGGTCAAGTGTCAGCGCGGAGGGGAAAGGGAAAAACCTTTTTTCCTACCAGCTGCTAGGAGGGGCCAGTCAGAGCATCTGCTCTGCTGTATACAGGGTCCTGGTGAGCCACAGCCCACTCAATGGCACTTGGTAACAATTTAGTTGGGCACAGAGCTAAGGGCTGCCAAGCTTCCTTCTAGCCGTCACAGTCTTGAATGAGTAGGCATCAGGGTTTAAGCTCAGGATCCAGTATGCCGATTCTAACTTCACACACTAGCAGTCCTGAACAAGTTATTTAACTTCTCCAGACCCGACTTTGTTACGTCTACCCTCCTTTTTAGTGCATTTTCTTGATGATGACATTGAGGCTTACAAAGGCAACATCAGTGCCAGGTCTGGGCTCAGAGCCTGTGTTGGGCTAAGTCATTCCCACCTGTCACCACCCCCAATAGCATCTCACATCAGGACCTCCAGAGGTCAACCCAGGTAAATGTGCAGCTGTCAGGAAGGGGCTAAGCTCAGGGCCTCAGGCTGCTTGGGACCAGTCACCCCTCAGAGCCACAGCCCCAAGGCAGGTACATACCACAGGTGCTTCTGGGGGGGCGATCCGCAGCCCCTGGGACAGGATGCCGGCAAAGTTGGTGGTCCTGGAGCCATGCCACAGCAGCCTACGGTTGTGGAGCTGCTGGAAAGGCTTGTAGCGCTGGGTCTCCCCTTCACGCTCAATCTTAAAGATCTGGAATGAGGGACAGGAATTGGTTAACGGCGAGATCTGACAGAATGCAGGAAACAGACTATATGATCTCTGAGATAAATAATGCACTGTTTGCTACAGTAGGTGGGACCGTTTCCAGTCACACTGGAATGAAGTGATACCATTTCTCAAAGTCCTTTCAGAAGAGACAAGCTATTGGAAATATCCCAGAGAACAGAATCATGCTTGAGCAATTTGGTTTTTAAGCTCTGAGAAACAGATTTGCTGATTCTCAAACTGCTTAGTTTTGGGAATAAAAATCTTCAAGGCAGAATACAAAGTCAGTCAGAACTGATTTCTCTGCCTACCAGCCCAGTGAGTCACTTCCTCTGGGTATTTATAGCGGAGGAAGCATTTCCCTCCGCGCCCCCACCCTCAGGCAGAGGTGAGCTTGAACAGGTGGGAGGTAGGGCTTCTCACATCAATGACTTCCAGGTCATATGCGTTGTGAGTTGTCGCGTGAGTGTTCTTAACATATTTGCGGATGATCTTGGCTTCTTCAGAATCTTTGTCCACCACCTAGGAAAGAGGGGCCTTAAGGAACAGTGCAGAGGTGGCTCAAAGAGGGTCACCAGAGGACCAGGTAGAGCGAGCCAACTCCTCAGCAGAAGCCAAGAACAACAGTTGGTCAGACTGGAACACACATCGTCTCACTTCATCTGTGGGAGCCACTCGAGGACCTCCAAGTTCCTTCCTGTCTTAAAAATCTATGCTCTGGGACACAAGAAAAGCTAGACACAGGAAGGTTACAGAACAAGGAAGAGATTCAAATCCAGTACACTGTGTGGACTAACAGTACACTCAGCTGTTAACCAAAAGGGAACCTAAGCCCTCCTTCAAAGAAAGGAAACAGAGATACTAAAAAACCAGCCACTTAAAACCCTAAGGAGCACATAGGTTTGCCAACAGTTAGAATTGGCTTCATAGCAACTGGCAGTGGCTTTGATGTTTCAAAGTCCCCTTGACTTCCTGCCAAGCGGACAGTATAGAGCAAACAGCAACATTTGGTGTCTCACCCCGCGTGGCCCAGACATGGCTTACACACCACGCCAGGCACAAGACTTAGGTGTGTCCAACCCTCAGCACACGTTGCAGGAGAAGGCTGGGGCTGAGAAAGGGAGGTACACCCGAGCTGTGGGAGATGTCTGCCCGAGCACCTACCAAGTTCAAGGACTACCCCTCTAGAGGACCACCCTGCAACCAAAGGTATCTCAAGTAATCTTAAAACCCACAAACAGCAAACAGGTTAGCTTAACTAGCACAGAACCACCACCCTGAGTGGAACGATCTATATGGGCTCAAACACATTTTTATCACTGCTGTTAACTCGCACCGGTGGGACCTGTGCCAGAGGCATTAGCTTTGGTTTCACAGTATAATTCCCTAGGGACTAGACTGCCAGTGCACCCTATTTAAGGAACATTAAACAGGAACCTTGAGTTTCTGAAAAGGACTCAGATTAGGAGGGTCAAAATGGCACAACCAAGATTAGCCACATCCCTGAACTAGTTGGTGTGTGTGCTGCTGTGGAAATACATCTCCAAATTCATGCCTTGCCATAGACTAGCTCAAGCTAAGTCCTCAGAGGCTGTGGCACGTGGTTCAAATCCACCAGGTGAGTCACAGGAGGATGATGGCAATCTTACAGCCTCAGAAACCCCCTGGAGCATCAGCTACGAATTGGTAGTGCCTAAAAATAGTTTAAGGGGTCCAGGAAGGGGCCGGGGTGGCGAACAATAAACAACTTTGCTGTATAACTGGAAAGCTGGAGCTTGAGGTCCATCCAGAGGTCTCCTGATCTACTGCCAAAAAACATCAGTCACTGAAAATCCCATAGCGCACAATTTTCCTCAGCAGCACACAGGGTTGCCTCGAGTCAGCCAACTTGATGACAAATTATCTGGAAGGGGACACAGTGAGCTCCAAGGTCCCCACGCCATACGGCTCTGCCCTGATGTTGTAAGAGCAGGAACAGCAGCCTCGTCTGATAAGGCAGGTCTTGGGACCACGGCATGTGTGGTGGTCGGCTCTCCCAGCGATGCGGACACTCCCGAGGCCGGGAACCACCACTCCTGTAATGACCAGTTGAGATGCCTCAGGAAGGGCTGCTCCATTACCTTAATCTCAGTCTTGAGCTTCTCATAGTTGACATCAATGGGGTCCTTGCTGCTGTCCTCAGACCCACCCCTGAGCAGGCTGTAGGCCACCTCAATGTCCAGCAAGTTGTCCAGCATTTCCACCTTGGCCTGCAAGAGCAAGGACAGACCATGGGTGAAGTTCCGAGGACAGTGAGGTGTGCCTAGGTCTGAGCCAGGAAACGGAAATGCAGGTTAAGTGTCCAACAAAACCTGAATCTCATAAAGATGCTGTAGGGTCAGCCTGTCACCTTGAATGCTGACACGGACTTTCTGGGATGCCATCGAGCCTCCACCTGTCATCTCATCCCAGGAGGCTAGATGACCAAGATAAAAATGGGGTGCCCTCTTGGCACTCTGAGGGCAACTGGTGGCCTGCACTTATGAAGGAGCTAACACGAGTGGCCTAAGCCCCAGAAGGAAGCAGTTCCATCTCCCAGTGTGGTAGAACCCAGGGATCCCACCACGTGACAGGGAAGAGCGAGGCTGAGCCATCGCTTGCTGACCCCAGCACCGGGTGGCACACCTGCACACTGTCAGCGTTGTTCAGGAGCGGAGGCTTCTTCATGCCGAAGTCATGTGGGATCAAGGTGTAGAAGCGATTCGAGAGATCCAGGATCCGGGAGTCGCTACTGCCCTGGGACACAGCCTGGGGCGGGGAGGGGGAGAGGAAAAGACACAGGTCACGGCAGAGGCTCCAACAGTGTATGTGTGTGCTGGGCAGCCCACAACACAGGACCAAAGCATCCGAGAAGAGGAAGATGTCATGCCTGCCTCCAGCAGGGCAGAGAAACACAAAAAAGCTTCCCGAAACGTCATCTATACAGAGAACTGAGCAATTTCTCTCTCACACACAAGAAACCACAATGCTGAGGGAGGTCAGGTGGCCTAGTGGCAAGAAGCTACTCTGCATTCCTGAAGTCAGGCAGTTTGAAGCCACTGGCTACTGAGAATAATAACAATCCTTCCTTGTGCGATTTACTGCCTCTGAAAACCCACTGGAGGGTCAGCTATGGGTTAGTTTTGACTTGATGGCACCCCACAACTATGGGAGTCTCGTGACTAAGTTCTGTACAATTGTTTTAAACTTTCTATGTGTAAAAACATTATGATAGTGAAGAGATTGAGATTTAACAGCTTCTGCTTCAGGGTACTTGGCTCCACAATTGACATTCTTGTTACCAGCAGCCAGGAAATCAAAAGACAAATTGCACTGGGAATTTGGCACACAACATATGTTAACAAAATTCTGCCAGGTCATACCCTGTTCACCTCCGAGGCAGAGAAGCTGGGCGTCATTGGCCCCTGGAGGTCCAGCGGCCGGCACAAGCCCAGTGAAAGCTCTACATGCTGAAGGTGCTCCAGAACCCATGCAGGACTGGATCGGTGGAACACATTCTAGGGCCTTAGGATGCTAAGGGGCCAGGCACCTAGTATCTTGCAGGTCACAGATGCCATTATGGTGTTTACACCCTGCTGCCTTGCAATGATCTTAGTGCAGGGTGCTCTGTGAATTTTTTCTGACCAGGAACGAGTGTGGGCTAATGAAATGCTTCTAGTCACCAGCTAGCAAGGAGAGGTCACTTACAAGATCCGGCTGTCTTGCACTCTGCCTGCTGTGTGAGGCATACCGCACCAGCCATACCGCCTACTCTCTGGCCCTCTATTCACCTGCTGTCAGAAGCCCAAGACTGCTCCTAACCCCCAAAGAGAAGCCAGATCCTGCAACACCCACAGGATAGGTCAGGACAACCAGGCATGAAGACCTTGAGGACAAGGCATGTTTGGGAAAGTCAGTAAATACTGACTGACCTATGGATGAAAAGTATGCAAACATTTAACTTATTCAATGATTTCCAAATAAATGAAGCAAAAGCTCAGCCTGACCCTTAAAAACAACAAATGAACATCTTCCTGGAGGTTGCTAATATCGTTGGGTGCTCACTGACTTAAGTGATCACCATGGAGTTTCCAAGACCTTTATGTAAGCCAGGTCTTTCTCTCGCAGAAATGCTGGGCACATCTAAACTGTCAACAGTTCGTGTACTGTCCACTGTTATCACTAGGACTCTATAAATGGAAAGGGGTAGAAGAACCAAGTTCGTAACAGGTTTTTAGAAACCATGGCTACTCCTTACTTTTCCAATGGCTTCTAAGTGGCAGGCACTTAATATATTCACTGGGTTGAAAACTATCACCTTTATGAAGCTTGTGTGATTTAGGACTTATTTCTCATTAATCCCCAAACGAGGAGATGTATGCTTGGGGTGCTGATGCGGGAAAGCGGGCAGACAGCTGCTAAGAGTCCTCTGTAAGCAGGAGACACAGCTCTGAGTTTACCTGCTGGACCTCACCGAGGATGGAATATGCAGCCTGGATCTGCCTCTTGCTCAGCTTCCCCAAGGGCATCTTCTGAAGGTCGATCTGGAGAAGGAGAAGGCATTTTCTCTTTAAGCTGACATAGCTGGGCATGGGGCAGTGTGATGAGGGGAAAGCAGGAACAGGCAGTGTGCCCAGGTCCATGACAGGGCGTGCGTGGGTAGAGCAAGGCATATGAGTGAGGATGGCAGGGTAGGCATGAGGAGGTCCCTTGCCTGCTTCAGCTGCACTACAGCCTGGATAAGTCAATTGTTTGTGCAACCACCTAGCAGTTTTAGGAAACAGTCCAATTCCCATTGATGCCAAAATAAAGGTCTCCCCATCTTGGGCAGCCTTTAGAGAGCCTTCTCTGAGGCCCCACAATCAAGGTAATATGTCCTTTTTTCTGGGGTTCCAAACCTGAAAATAAGAACCAGAAAGCTGTGAAGGACACACCTGAGAATATGAATTTATATCCAAATAACTGAGCTGCTTTCAAACTATCAAGAGATGAAGTATTTGTTTTGACAATAATACTATTATACCTCAAATGCTTCAGGGAACTACTGTCAAGAATAGTGGTAGCTGTTCCTCAGTTTCCCCTATGCAAAATCTTCCGCCCCAGGTTGTCCTGACTTCGGCTCATTTGTGATGGACCATGTCTACAATGTCGGTTCAGGCTCTCAGGCCATTTCTGTTCTCACACATCTGCCTGTAGGTGGGCCCACACTTTGCATCACTTTACCTCTGTCCCACTAAACCCCCAGCCTTTTGAGTCCCTGGGAGCCGTGATTGCTTCTTACAGCCACCACTGCAGTTCAGCACTATCTATAGGCTTCCAGAAATGGATCTCCTACATGGACTAGGTTAAATCAAAGGAGTGAAAAATGCACACAAGGCACCAAAGGCCAGGCATTGCTTCCAGGAAGACCCAGGCTGAAGTGCATGTGCTTCTCAACTCTGCCACAGACACGCCCCACCTGAAGGGCAAATGTGTTTTCTGAAGAGTTTAATACTAATGCCCAGTCTGAGGGAGAAGGTGAAGCTATTTCGGGCCAAGAACAAGGCACAATAAAAAAGAAGACTTCAGGATCAACTATTAATTGGCTCCCAGGAAGACAGCTGTCAACACAGAGATCACTAACCCTGGCTGGCTGCAGCACCACCCGTGTAAGGGATGGTGACAAGGACAGAGCTCAGTCAAAAGCATCTGCCCTTGGCCCACCTCTTCTGGGGAATAAAGCACCTAGCTTACCCCAACCCCTCTCTACACTAGGGACCTGAAGGAAAATACAAAGAAAATAATTTTACAGCAAGAAACAGTTCTGAGTGTCACTGAAGACTTCCATAAACTATAGATAAAACAGAGTACTGAAGGGACAGGCTGTTCGGTCAGTCTGGGTGTCCAGAAACAGGCAGTGTATCTAAGGGATACTATTCATTTTCAAACCTGTGCAATGATGCACAGGCTGTAACAACACTGAAGACTGACATCAAGCTAAGCACCTTAGAGGACTCCAGCTCTGGTGTCTGTGAAGGCTTGGGAGGAAAGGGCAGAACTAGGTTGTTACCCCTAACTCTCTGGCTGGAGGCATATAGGACCACTTGCTTCCAAGGCAAATTCAATCACAACTCCACCCCACGATTTACTTTCCAGAACAGTCCAGCAGCCAGGTGGGCTTATGGGAAGCCCTCTGCACATAAGTAGTGGTCATTTCCCCCTCTGAGGTCCAGTCAAGGAGGAGGCAGCTGCCAACAGCAAGACGCTGGCGGCCAGCACTCAGAGCCCTGACAATAGAAGCAGAAAGAATGGGCCCTGCTAGCCACATCATCTGGGGAAGTGCAGAAATGAGAGATGAATGGAAAACTCACAGCCCTGGGTGTGAACATGACTAATCTACCAAGCTTCCCCCTGACCCCTGTTTGATATGAAGAATTCATGTGATGAAGCGAATGGCAGGAGGCCACGGCCTGAACCGCATGTTAAATTCCACCTACTGGGAGCAGGCTGGCCATGAACAAACCATGTCCAGGTATCCTGGTCATGGTGACAAGAAAGAGAATGTGACCAAATAGGGACAAGGGGCCTTGGGAGCCAGGGCAGCTTCAGCAACACCCCACCGACAGCAAATCAAGTGACCCTGCAGAAAAGCAAGAATGGCAGGTCTGCCTGAGTTCCCCAAAAGGCATGCTGCACTCACTCATGTCAAAAGGGTCTCTGAAGACAGTTGTATCCAACATAAGGTGAGGACTGGGCTGGGAGGGTGTTGAGTGGTGTGAACAGAAGAGGCGCGGAGAGAGGCCACAAGAGAGGCCTACTGATCAAACAAGACCTGGGGCCACCACGAGCTGAGGGACAAGAAAGGCTTATCCCCCAGGAAAGGTCAACCATGAAACTTGGGGACAGGGCCCCATCAACACAGTAATTTGGATTTCCAGCATCCAGAACTGTCAGGTGAGGAGTTTCGGATTTCAGTGTGTGGCTTTCTATTATGATAGCCTGAGGACTTAATCCCCAAAACAACCAGGGCTACCCGCCGGCCCAGGGAGAGAGCCGAGCATGGTCACCTCGTACTCCACCATGGCTTTCTTCATGCTCTCCACATCGAAGATCATCCTGATGAGCTCCTGCACTGGCTTGGGGAGCTTAGACTTGGTGCCAGGGTTCACGGTCAATTTCTTCACGGCCTCTTCATCCTTCAGGGACACAAGAGGAAATCAGTAAGAGACTCAGTATTACCAACTCTATCATGGTGGTGGCTGGGCCTGGGCTGCAGAGACCAGGTGCAAGATGGAGTGCCAGTAGCATGAAAGGCTGTGTTGTATGCTCACCAAAAGGGGGCTAGGGATGGGCCACGATGCCGCCCTCATGAGACACTCTCCATGTGCCCCTCATCTTGTCCTTCTGCTCACTCCACCTTCCTTCCGAGGCATTAGCACTACACACCCCTCATGCCCACCTGGCCTACTTGGTGCCTACCAAGTGCCACCTCTGAGCTTGGAACTGGGCTGTGCCCGGTGTAACCAGGTCGCAGCTGAGCCCCTCACATAATATTTTACCCTGTGGTTATAATTTTAGAAGAGGACAAACGGAATATGTTTAAAATCCTTGATTAAGGTTTGATTAAACCACGACTCTGTTTAGGCAATCCACCTCTGACAGAAACAATCAAACTGACAACTCACAGCAACTCTGGAACAAGAGATTCCAATGCTGCCTTCCCCTGCGCCATCCTCAAGCCCACTGCTGCCACCTCCCTGAGGGTTCTTCCTTTCTTTCACTAACCATCTACTTTCCCCAAAGAACACAGTTTAACTGCCCTTGCCTCTAAGGACCCGCTTGTACACAAACGTGGCTGATTCTTGTTAACTGGCAGTAGTGGTTAAGTTTAAAAAAAAATTGAAAAATTGCAAACACTAAATTAGCTAATACTAATGCAAAGCAATGCTCCAAGGGAAATGCAGGGCTAAGTTCCCATGAGCCTCTTGTCGCAACACTTTCATCAACTGAATCAAAGGAACCTTGTTCCACGTGCTTCTGTTGAGATCTTGTTTAAAGCTACATTGTAGACCACTCCCATTTGGAGAGTCAGTTTTTGAGGGGAAACTGTCCTCCCAGATCTGTAATGAAGTGCTTATGGATATTGCAAAAAACCCCCCCAAAAACCTAAAAAACCCCCTCCTTTGTTGATTAATCGGCCTTAAATTAAAAGCCAACAGTGCTCTATGCCTGATCAAGCTTATCTAACACCCAAACTTTTCTCGTAAGGTTTAGAAACACTTGACGGTACTTAATACTCCATTGTGGGCCATTTTAAAGAGCAGTAGAAAGCACAAAACACATGAAAAACGGCATGAAACAGACCACTAAAAGGGTACTTGTTTACAGCACGGGAACAGAGACAAGCAGCTGAGTTTATCTCTACCTGGCCTGAGTGGGCAAACAAGAACATCAGGGGATTCAAATTTCTTGCTTTTCTCAGTATTGACTATAGAGTAACAAATACATTTGGGAGAATAAACTTATAAAATATAAAAATAACGAGGGTTGATGTATTGCTGATAAACCTCATTATAGCAAATATCAAATAATGGCTGATCCACAAAATGAAATTCTATGACCTTTTTTCTATTTTAAAAATTATTAATGTACCTTTTTTTACAGCATATTCTTTTAATTTAATTTTCCCCCCATTCATTCACATTTCCTCTTAGTCCACCCCTCCACCCCAGTTTGTTTTTCTCTTTGGAAGAAAAATTTCTTTCCCCGAGTCCAGTTTAAAAGAATTATGACGTAGACGGGCATATTTTAGCACAGTGATCAATAATCACACATGGCTGAGGTAAGTCTGAATGGAGATGTGCTAGGCCAAATATGCATTACTTTCAAGACTTAGTGTAACACAATGTAGAAATCTCTCTGTGATTTTGTTGGCACTAATTACATGTTTAGTGATTATCTTCTGGATTAAATAAACACTAACCTTTACCCATTTCTCTTTTGCACTCATCGGAGACTAACACATATGGGAAAGCATGTCCATCTCTCTGTGAGGCTACTGCTGGATATGAACCATAGGCCTTCATGCTGCCAATGCAACTCTCTACTCACTAGGCCACACTGTATAGAGTGGTTGCTAAAACCCTAACATTTTATTTTTATTCAACAGCGCTGCTCAGTAAGACATGAGAAAACGCTCCTGGTACACTGGGGAACAAAGTTGGCTCTAATTCTATGGTGGGAAAATAGGAAAAAAAGGAAAGAAGACTTTTAAAAAAAGGGGAGGGGGGAACCATGAATTTAACTATATAGTATTTCTGAAATTGGGTGAGGGGCTGAGCGGCATTTAATTTGGCAGAGCACTGGGCAGTCTAACATAGACTGAGTCTGTGCAACTAAGTCAAATGTGCCAAGTCTCCACTTGAGCGTCTTGCTGCTGCTGGTAGGTGGTGTCATCCAGCGAGCTTTTAGAAGCTGTCAACAGTACAGGAGACTGTCGCTCTTCTCCTACAGAGCTGCTGGGGGGATCTGAACCATGTGACTTAGGACTGGCAGTACAACTTTTTTTTAAAAATAATTTTAATGAGCATTTACAGAGATTTTGGATTTCCATTCATTCATTGCTGCACTTCTCTCCCCGTCCCCCAGTTCGCTCCTCTCAAAAGTAAAAGAAACACTCCTTCCCTGCTACACAATCCCCCCGCACCCCTCCCAAGTACATTCCACTATGCAACCTTAATTGTGGACTCCTGTGTAGTACAACTTTTAAAAAATTTTATTATTTATTATGTGGGTACCGTCAAATCAGATCTGACTGGTACAGGAGGAGATTGTCCCTCCTTTTCCAGCAGAGCATCTGGTAGCTTTGAACCATGTATCTCTGGGACTGCAGTGCAGCTTCTTGCTACTAAGGCCACCAGAGCTCCCTTGGCAGTACAACTTTTTACAAATATCAAACGAGCTGATTTTTATTTTATTTTGAATGGTGAGAGTGCACCATAAAAAGCCCCCCCAAAACCCCACATCCAAAAACTTCTCCAACAGGGTAAAAAAGGTAAGTGATAGACTAGGAAAAAGTATTTGGTAATGACATGTCTGAGAAGGGACTTACATCTAGAATTTATAGAATACTTGACCACTACAACAAGACAAAGGTCAACAACCCAATTAAAAAATGGGCACCCGATATGGACACTACCAAAGAAGACTTTCAGATGGCAAATACATGAAGCAATGTTCAAAATCCCTAGCTCTAAGAGATATGCAAATCAAAACAACTATGAGATATCATCTCACCCCAGTAAGAATAACAAAATTTAACAGAACAGTAAACAACAAATGCTGGAGAGGTTGTGTAGAAACTGAACAATTATTCACTGATGGTGGGAGTATAAAATGGTACAACCACTGTGGAAGGTGGTATGGCGCTTTCTCAAAAAGTTGGAAATAGAAATACTATTTGACCCAGCAATTCCTCTACTGTGAATATATCCTTAAGAAACCAGAACTGTCACCCAAGCAGATACATGCACACCCATGTTAACTGCTCCTTTGTTCACAACAGCAAAGAGCTGGCAACAACCCAAGTGCCCTTCAACAAATGAATGGATAGAGAAGCTGTGGTACAGCTACACAATGGAGTATAATACAGCACTGAAAAACAAAGAACTCATGAAATACTACGCAAAATGGGTGACTCTGAAGGACAGTATGCTGAGTGAACTATCTCAGTCACAAAAGGACAAACACTGCACACCCAGGTTTATTGCAGCTTTGTTCACAATAGCAAAGAGTTGGAAGCAACCTAAGTGCCCATCAACAAACGAATGGATAGAGAAGCTGTGGTATACTCACACAATGGAATACTATGCAGCATTGAAAAACAAGGAACTCATGCACTATTATTCAAAATGGGTGACCCTGGAGGACATTATGCTGAGTGAAATATCTCAGTCACAAAGGGACAAATACTGCACGGTGCCACTGTTATAGAACATGTCTGACATCAGGGTTGGGGTAAGACTGAGAAAAAACTGGATAAATTATGTATACTGTATTGAAACAGATGAGAGAAAGAACAGATTAGAAGCGACATATGATTGAGTATTATGGTTAGCACAGGAATCCAGAATTAAGGCTGCATAGAGAAGTATACTTGGGGTAGGGGTGGGGGGAAGGGGTGGGAGAATTGTATACCAATGAAGAATTTTTTTTTCCTTCTCTTTTTCTTTTTGGAGAGGGGAGTGAACTGGTGCGGAGGGGTGGGCAGGGAGAAAAGTGCGGCAATGAATAAATGGAAATCCAAAATCTCTGTAAATGTTTATTAAAATGAATAAAAAAAGAAAAATAAATTTTAAAAAAAAAGGAGAAACACTGCATAGTGCCACTGCTGTGAAAACAGGACTGACATCAGGGTTGGCAGAAACTTAAGAAAAGAGGGGATAAATAATGTATACTGCATTGAAACAGATGAGAGAGAGAGAGAGAACTGTTTAAAATATTATAAATATATACTTATTTATAAAAATTATACGCTTAGGTATTATTTTCACAACAGGAGTCCAGAGTAAGAGCTGCACTGTAAAGTGGTCTTGGGGGAAGGACTGTGTAACAATGGAAGTATTTTTCCCCCTTTTTTCTCTCCAAGAGTGAACTGAGAGGAGAGGTGGGTAGGGAGGAAAATGTGCAACAATGTATGAATGGAAATCCAACCTCTCTGTAAACTTTCATTAAAATGTAAAAAACAAAACCCATACTCCCCCCAAAAATCCACCAACAAACCTCCCAAAACACAACAAAAAAGCCCCAAAGATTCAAAATTAAAAGTTCTATGCACTCAGAAATCTTAAAAAAAAAACTATCCCTCCTCCCCCTGATTACGTTGTTGTTTAATGCTGTCAAGTCATAGACGACTCATAGCGACCCTATGAACGAACAGCCTGAGCACTGTTCGTACACCCAGTTTCCAGCGGCAAGCCATTTTGGAAGTGGATGCCGCTCAAACAAAGGGTCACCAAAATACAAACCAAAGACAGCAAAGGTCCCCCTGGTAACAAATATGGAGAAGCCCAAACTCCAAATACAGTTGTTCTTCCCCCTTTCCTAATTTGCAACTTTAAGACTAGGAACCCAGTGATGGCGATTCCATCCTGACTATACACCAGTGCTATAATGAAGCACTGACCTCACTGACAATGTGAACACTTGTACCATTCTCATAGAGATGCTATCTTATAATTGATGGAGATTTTGGTCCAAATTGAGGTTTCTATCATGACAGAATGTTGAGATTTTGTTACATGGGTTCCCCTTCTTCATCTATTGAGATTATTATGTGAGTGTATCTTTAATCTAAGTGTATCTCGCATTCATCCATTACAATGATCAAACCAAGCACACATACCTGGACCAAATCCCACAGGTTATGGTGTAGAATCATTTTTACATGTGGATGGCTCTGCTCGTTAGCATTCCGTGGAGGATTTGTGTGTCTATAGTCAAAAGCTGTTGGTTTGGGGTTTTCTTGTGCTATCGCATCTGTTTTGGTATCTGGGTGCTAACACTGCTCTCACAGAACTGAGCAATGCTCCACACTCTTCAGTCATCTGTGAAGGATCACAGTTCACTTTCTAGACACACGTGCGCTAGGACCCAGTGCATTGTGTGGAGGAGCCAATACATCTGCGCTGTGACCCAGCACATGCCATATGTGGATGAGCCAGGCGATGGAGGAGTGTGATGGTTACCTGGCCGTAGTCAATCTCCAGAGGGTAGAACTTCTTGGGATACTTGGTGAAGTTCTTGGAGTGCCAGGCGTTGCCGGTTTTCTCCTCATACAATTTTGTAAAGTGGTCAATGGCGTCCTCCCTGGACGGCATCTGCTCCAGCTTGTTGCTCCCAATCACAGTGCCCACTCGGCCCCAGGACCGGAAGATCCAGTACCTGCCGGAATAGGGGGGCAAAGGAGAGTCATGTCGACCTGTGGTTAGCAGGCATTCAGCTGAGCTGCCTGCCTGCCCTTGCCCTAAAATCTCACCCAGAAGGGGGTGAAGCACTTCAAGCATGAAAGATAACAGTTGAAAAGGGGAAATTGAGACAGAAGTAAAAAAGGAATCCCTAAGAACTTCTTAAAAAAACAAACAAACGCTTGAGGTTATAAGTTTAAAATACACTCAAATTCAGATTTCTTAGGGTTTTTTTAAGATAAAAATCAGAGATCTCTAAGAAAATCTAGGGCTTCCAAAGTTTTCAGACTGTTGTCCTGTGGAAATCTGTTAAGTCAATTCTCACAATAACCTGACAGGAGGGAGAAGTGTCCACAGGGTTCCATAGCGAGAATCCTAACGGGACTGGACTGTTCCCCTTCTCCCATGGATTCAAACCAACAGACCTTCCATTAGCAACTAAGTGCTTAACCACTGAGCCAGTAGTGGTCCTTGCATACATTCATTCTCCATCCAGGTTTTTCTGTGAATATTTCTGACCCATCTTGAAGATTACTTCTGAATCCAACAGTTTGTTGCTACACCATATATAATTTTAAAAGCTAATCAACAGGTCACTAGAAGATAGCAGGTCCCCTCCCTGGAAGCGCCCCTGCAGAATTCTCCTAGTGTGCACCTTTCCACACGCGCAGAGCCTGCAGTGCCAACAGTGGAATGAGTGGCTGGCAAGGCCGTTCCTGTGCGGAAACATATAGACACCAAGATCCAGAGAGCGAGCACTGTCTCCCACCACCCGGAACATGACAATCTCCACCATGATGATGGAAGAGAAAACAAAGCAAACACCCTGGCCAGTGTGGGAAGCTCCTCTCCCGCTTATTTGCTTCAGACGTTTTACACATGCAGAAGCATGAATATAAAATTGAGACTCAGATCAAGGGGTGGTGCGTACCCGTGGAGGAAGAGGGTGAAGACATAGACGCGGCTCCTAGCACCCTGGGGGCAGCCCTCAAGCTGCCTCCTGCCCAGGCCTGGCACCACTTGCCTCCACGCTACACTGATGCAGGCTGTGCAGGGCCACGGGACGCGCATGAAGACCCAGAGAGCTTCCTGGACGAGCACGTGCAGCGGGTCCTGCGCACACCCGGCCGCCCGCCACAGTGGGCAGTGCAGCTGGGCACGGCAAACACACAGCCAAGACGGGGGGCCAAACTGGACACAGCCAGTCTGTTCCACCACCGGCACACCCATCACCATGTGCACAATGGCGCCGCTAAACCAAAGGAGCAGATTGAGGCAGAGGCTGCCTGTCGTGTCCAGAGCAGCTTCCCGTGGACTCCAGAGATGCACAGCTATGCCACCAAGCCACGCAGTTTCCCAGAAAATGCAGGGGCAGGTCCCGCAGCTGCTGCTGCCACCGCCACTACAGCTGCCACCGCCACCCCTGCTGCTACTGCTGTTGCCGCAGCAGACAATCTGGGCTTCAGTGTTAAAGCAAACGTGTCCAAGAGGCCTGTCAAGAAGGTTGAGGTGGGCCGGAGTGCAGCCACCTCGGAGGTTCCAGGCTCACCTGAGGGCGTGGAGAAGACACAAACTATACTGCAGTGGATCAATGAAGGCAAGAAAGAGATCAGCAGACACAAGAAGGCTGGTCATGGGCTTTTTGGAGTCAAGAGGCAACAGGCCCTTGAAGGCACCAGGGCTCTCTGTCCATTGAGCGCCCTGGGGCCGTGCACCCCTGGGTCAGCGCCCAACGTCGGAACTCTGTCCAGCCTTCCCACCTCTTCATTCAAGACCCCACCATGCCTCCCAACCTGGCACCCAATCTACTGACCCAACTGGAGGAGGCACACAGGCGGCTGGAGGAGGAGGAGAAGCGAGCCAGTAAAGTGCCGGCCAAGCAGAGGACAAAGTCTCAGAAGAAAGTGGGGGGTGCAAGCGCCTTGCCACCCAACAGCATTGTGGTGGCCTACTACTTCTGTAGGGAGCCAATTCTCTACCGGACTCTGGTGAAGGGCCACGGGGTCACCATAGGCCAGTTCAAGGAGCTACTGACCAAGAAAGGTAGCTACAGATACTATTTCAAGAAAGTGAGCGACGAATTTGACTGTGGCATGGTTTTCGAGGAGGTGCGAGAGAACCAGGCCATGCTGCCCATCTTTGAGGAGAAGATCATCGGCAAAGTGGAGAAGGTCGACTGACCACAGGTGCTGGCCCTGGGGGCAGGAGCACTTCCAGACACAGCAGCCCTTTTCCTCCTGTGTCTGGAGTAGAGTCGCTCTGAGGGGCCCCCAGGCCTCTGCGGGGCTGCCTAGCAGTAGGCCCACCTGGTTGCCATAAGCAATATTGAGGGCCAGCCTAATAGGGCAGCCCCTCCTCCTTCACACCCCAACCCCATTCCCTATCCCCATCCCAACCCCAATGCCGGCCAGCCCCGGCAGTCCCTCTGCTGCTAACAGGTCCTGCCTGACCCTGGAGGCCTTGCCTGGGGCAGGGGCTCGCCCCGGTGTGCCCAATCCCTACCGGGACCCCCCTCGGGGGCCCCCCACTTGTACATGTCACCGAGTGCCTTCGACACAACCTGTCCCTTGCCTGCCACTGTGTGAATCCACGGCAGGGACCATTCCCCAAGATGGCCACTCATAGCCCCCGTGCCCCATGTAAATACGTCCATTTCTCAGGCAGGGCCGGTGGGCAGCCGCCCCAGCCCTCCTCACCCTCACTTGTACAATGTTCTTTTCAAAGCTACTTGGATAATAACAAAACAAAACATTTGTAAACCCCCCCCCAAAAAAAAAAATTGAGACTCTCTAAGCTCCTAAGAACACACTAGCTAAGTGCAGAGGAAATGACCCAAATGGACTGTCAAAGCTGCAACATTTCATAGTAGATCACAAGACCGGGCAACCATGTGCCTCATCCCAGGATTCAGAGTCTGCACATGTGCGCGCACCTTCCTCAATAGGATCACCAAAAAAAGCTGTTAATTCGCTTCCCATTAATGGCAACCCATGACTGGTTTCTGAAACTAGGAATGTTAATGGGATCAGACCATCTTTCTCTTGTGGAGCGGTTGATGGGTTCGAACTACCAACCTCTTAATTATATACATACATAAAACCACTCTCTCTACACCACCGCAAGTTAAAGGCATCAATTCTTCTATGGTCTTCCTTATTCACTGACTATCACAGGCATGTGAAGTAGCAAAAAACATCATGGTATATTATAGGTCAGGCCCACCTTAGTCTTTAAACTGACATCCTAACTCTGCACTGTTTTGAAGAGGTCATTTACAATAGATTTGTCCACTGCACAACATGATTTTATTTCCTGATAGCAGCTTCCATGGGTGTGATTTGTGAAAAATACTGAATATACCACAGACTGCCAAAAGAGCAAACAAATCTGTGTTGCAAGACAGCCACAGTGCTCCTTAGAGGTGGGCATGCTAAGAGGAGGGGCCAGTTCCTAGAAGAGGACATCATGAAAAGTCGAGGGCCAGAGAAAGAGAAGAAGATTTTTAATGAAGGGCACGGGATTGAGCAGGGATTTACAAAGCGCTACGAAGAGCTGAAGTCAACTCAGTGCCTTCTAAGAACAACAACAAAGTTGGGAAGGAGCCAGCCTCCTCTGGAGCATATAACTGTTTCCAAACAAAATGGAGATCCTTTTTGGAAGGAAGGTGGGCAATAATGGTTGCTGGGTAGAAAACCAGTATTAACTGAGACACATCCAAGTGAACCATAAAACGTCAAGTTCCATCAAAGGAGGCATTTTCTAATCACTGTCAAGCATTAGCTGACAAATACTTTCCAATCTAGGTATGTTCAAAGACAAAATAGTAATCAATTCCAATCTCCAAGGCTTTGGCAATGAGAGGAAATCACAGAAACTACTAAAATAACCCGTTTTCCATCCATTTGATGTCAAAGGAAGAAACCCATGACCTTTCTGAGTCTAGACTACAGAAAGAGAAGGAAATGTATAGAATCTATTCTCCCACCCAGCACTTGGCCAAAGAAAAACAACTGCTGAATCAAGAGCCCCAGCTGGCAGCTTAGGACATGCGTCTGTTTCGTAATGTATTCCTTATGAACTTTCTCCCATGGAGCAGCTGCTGGGTTCCAAGTGCCAGAGATGTGACCTTGGGGTCAAGTCAAACTCCCTACAGACAAGACCCAGAGGTCCCCTGTATGTAAAACAGCTGGGAGAATGTGTAATATTTCATACCTGTCAAGACTGTCCAGGATGGCTGCAGCTACCCTCCGCTCTTTGACTAAAGCCTTTATGATACTCTTATCCTCAGTGACGAAGTTTAATCCCTCCACTTTCAGGAAGTTAAAGGCAACACTTTTCATGAGCTAAAACATCCTCTTCCCAAACATACCTGCTTTCCTTATCGTCCTCTAGAAGCTGTAGCTTGTAATAGGAGTTGGTCCCTTTGACAATGTCCACCAGGCCCAGGGTGGCACTGAAGACCTTCCCACCCTTCTCCAAGACATGTGCAGAATGTTCCAGACCTATCATGGAGACAAAACTGCTGTAGTCCGCTCTGTGAAAAGGTAGTACTTGGGGAGCGGAGGGGGTCTCAAGGTCTTGGAGTCACCATGGGCCTGAACAGACCACCACCACCTGTGTTCATGTGGCTGGGGGGTTGGGGGCGCCCAGCACACGGGGAGCAAGTAGGACCCACACTCCTGCCCTAACGGGCCACTCACGTACCAGAATCAGGATCCACAGCTGCACCTCCTTTCAGAGTCAGCTTCATCCTCTTCTCAGATTTACTGATGCCTTTGAGGGAGGGAAGACGTGTGTTAAGAGTAGAAACAAACAAACAATAACAAGGGAAGAGGGATAACCAAGTGAGCGCTTTACATTCTGGCAACAGGGAATCTGTGTGCAGCATCCTGCTCCCCACCCCCAACGTGCCTGGCACCCTGTATCCACTGGGAAGAGAAGTAAGAAGAGTGGTATGGACAGCACCCAGCAGACCACTTCCAGGACACCCAGGAAGAGGCCGGGCAGCAACCTGGCTGGCCAGGAAAGGGCCTACAAAGGTAGCAGGACAGGCCGAGGTGCTCTCACCTTCCTCTTTGATGGGGGCCTTGCTCTTCTTTGGGGGTGCGGACCCCGATTTTGGTTTTGAGGTTACAACTTCAACAGACTCTGCTTTCACCTCAGCTCCCCAGGGGGACAGTGTGTGCACGGAAAGCAACTCCTGGAGGTTCTTGCCGGTGCCCACATCATCAAGGAAATCCTCGGACACAACACGGACATTGGCTTCTCTCACCTCCTCCATCTTCTTCGTCATCTTCTCCACCTCCTCTGCTCAAAGGGAGGAAACGGGGAGAGGAAGGAAAGGATGAGTTTACAACAGAAATGACACCTCAAATAACCAGTTATATTGATTGACTTCTCCCAAACCCTAGGACATCTCTACGTGCTGCAAACAATGTGTGAGGTTTGAGGTTATCCAGATACAGCTCAGTAGAAAGGTCTGCTGATATGCTTTTGAAAATAGCCCCTGAGAGCACCACAGGGCAGAGGCCAGCTCCGACACACAGGGTTACTGTAGTTTCCAGGTTTGAGAGAACCATTATTAGTGCTCTTCTAAGACCTTACTATGTAGTTTTTCTTTCCTGACAAATCAAAGGGTTTTTGTGGAGGTTTTTAAATCCTAACACTTGTCTCCTGTAAGACAAGCTGAGGGAGCCTCATCTCAAGCCAGTTCCACAGAACTGCCTATTATTAGTCAGCAGTGCAAAGGGACACTGAAATCCCAAATCTGTCTGGACTTGGAAAGCTATGCCATCAGCACAATGAAGTGGGTAAGCCTGCACATCTGAGAGTCACTCTGAATTTCCCAAACATGGCTGTGTGTGCACTCTGGGTCTGACCATGAACCAGTAACATCTTGTGAACAATGCTGGCTGATACAGCAACTTAGGATCTGTATGTAGCTAGGGACAGAGGAATATTGATGCTAATGACAAGAAACACACACATTCTAAGGGCAGCCTGAGTGTGAGCCACTGTACCAAACTTGCCCTCACCATACTCCCGAGATAGAAGGGACACTCACTCTTGGTGCTGACACACACGGATGCCTTGCTGGCTGTCCCTGTCAGCTTGCCTCCCAGCTTCTCAACCGTGGCCTTCACCTCCTCCTTGTTCCGGGACAGCTTCCCCAGGGTCAGGATCATCATGTTAGACAGTGGCTTATCTGGAAGACAGGATCCCCAGACAAGATCAACCCTGGAGCTGCTGCCAGGATGGGGGACAGAGGGCAGAGCAGAAAGTCAGGCATCTCCTGGAGAAGCTGGCCACCAGGGTTGTCTACACCAGGATGCAGGGTCCCTATACAGCCTCAGTAGCCAGTTTATCAATTTCTCCTTATAGGACAGTCAGTAAAAGGTAGGCAAAGTGGTGAAGCAGAGCTGTGAGGGCAGGAAATGCTGCTATTCCCTGGGGCATACCAGGAAGCTATGCATGGAAAACATGCTCAGGAGGCTAGCCCGCAGGATGGTGGGAAGATGTCGGGTCACACGGGCTCACAATCCTTTGGATGCTTATTCTCCCAACCAGGATCTACAGACTTCAACTTCAAGCAGCAGCCTAGATTCATGAGCACCCCCCAATATGCTAGTCATGGTGACTATTGGCCCCAGGCGGTGAGGCTCGGCCAGTTTATGGTCAGGGGTGAGGAAGAGGTCACTTATGCGTTAGGTTAGGGCCAGAACCTCTGTTCTCTGCCCACTAAAACCATGCATTAACCATGAGACTGTAGTCACGTTTCTAGGAATAAACAAAAGGGGGGGTGGGGGTGGTGGGGTGTGTGTGTCTTTGCTAATAGCACAAAGCAAATTCATGTCATTTTTCTTTGCTGGCATGGGGTGGCTGCGGTCTATCTTTGAGCCGGAACCAACCCATGGGTGACCCTCCAGAGGCAGTTAACTGCAGGGGAGGAGACTGCACATCCTTCTCCTGCTGGTGGACATGAACACCATACCTTTGGGACTGTAGCACAGCTTCTGACCACTTGGCCACAAGAGCTCCCTTGGCATGGGGTATCTCTTGCTGAAATGGTAATTACTGTCCTGAGCCCGTATATAGACAACATAAAGAGAGCACCGGCTCAGAGGCCAAAGTTCCCAATAGCATTTGCTGCCCATCAGGCTGCCCATGCGGCCTGGTTCAGGAGGGAGGCTTGGCTCAGGAGGGCCTCCGGGTGTCCAGGATGACCACTTCACTTTAATTCTATGAATGTGGGATAAACTCAGTGACTACTCCTGAACTTTTAAACTGACAAACGCACTCAAGGGACCTGGTGTCCCTGAGAGTGGTGGCCAGCCCCCACACCCGCCATCCTGGGCTCTACCTGCAGGACTGGAGGCGCTCTGGGCAGCAGGCGCAGCAGACGCTGCAGTGGGCATGGGGGCCACCGGCACTGGGGCACTGCTCTCGGGGGGGAACAGGCGTAGCTGGTCTTTGATCTTCAACTTCTTGAAGAAAGAGATTTCTTGGAATTCCTAAAGGAAAACACATTTTTGTTATTGAACCAGCCTGCCTCAAGACGGCAGGGGGGCCCTGCTATGTCCACAGATGACAGTGTCTTGGTTTTGCCCTCCTTTTTCAACAGAGGGACACGTGAAACTTCCTGTGGGAAACACAGCACACTGCTGCACAGCACTCATGTCAGTTACTGTGGTGCTACAACCTGTCATAATGCCAAGCTCTAGAAGCTTGTTCATCTAAGGGAATTGAGAAAAACTTGATGCAAAGGCCCCCTCAAGCCTATGTGAGCACCCTTTCTTCTTTATGGCCTGCTATAGCAGTTACGCCATATAATTATCATATACAAAGCTCCTAAGCCTCCATCTAAAGCAGAAACGGCCCTATGGTGGTGCCACATCCATGCTCAGTGAGCACGAGGTGGTTGAAAGGTGGCTGTTGTGTGACACTAGGTTGGAAATGATCCATAGCTGACCTTCCAGCGAAGGACAGGAAATCAGATGAGAGGACACTGCCCATCCTTCTGTATGGTGCAACTGGTGAATTCGAACCTTTGGATTAAAGTAGGTGATTGCAATAGAAGGGGTGGTGGAGTAACATGGTCATGTTTCCATCTTTTTTCAAATACAGGGAAAACAGAGTTCAGTTAGTGTGCTGAGTGAGGTGACCCTCTCCACCGCATGCCAGCCAGTGACAGAAACAATGGGTAGCTGGGGACTGTGACAGAGATCCAGTTTTAAATGCTGCAGCACAGAGATCCAACTTGCTGGGGCCTGAAACGCCTGAGAACAAGGGGCATCTTTCCAGTAGCCTGCACTCCAAAGACATTGCCTGTTCCCCTCAGCACACGATCCAACTATAATTCCCAAACTGAGTTTTTTCACAGGCCAGAAATTCATTTAAAGAGTCAAAGCCAGAGCAATCGAGTCAGGACCAATTCGAGAGTCTCTGAAGTGGTGAATCGTACAGGGGTTCCAACACGCAGACACATCACTTCTGGGTGAGCAGGCACACTGTACAGAAGGCATCACCACAGCTTCCACGGAGGGGGACAGGTAGGGCCACTGTCCATCGCGTGCTTTCAGACCACTGACAACTCTGTGCTCCAGTGGGGTCTTTAGTTCCTCCCTACATGGCATGTGAGCACATGGGCCAGAGACATGAGTCTGTCTGCAAGGACGCCCCGTGTTAAGAAGCCTGAGGAGCACCACACTCCAGTCTCAGGGACCTGAAATGGAGACATGCCACGAGGCTGCTGCCATTGTCTTTAACTGCTGAACCAGGAATGTCGCATAGCTCAGCCCCAGCAGGTTTTCCTAGGCAGTAAATCACACAGGAGCAGTGGTAGACAGACTCAAAATGCGTGCCTTTGGGTTAACAGCCAGTTCCTTAGCACTAGCCACACCGAGAGGAGAGGAAACAAATCCTGGCATGCTCCCTCACCCAGCTTACCTTTGGCAGCCCCCAGTCAGCACGGTTTGGTCTCTGTGTTTTGAACATGCACTTGGTCCAGGCAGTGATGTCCCCGGTGCAGTAATAGCCATCGCCCTTGAAGACCACCTGGCCCGAGCACTGCGTGCAGGGAAGGAGGGCCCCAAACACGATCCCGTCAACCACTCGGTCCAAGATCTGAAGCAACAGAGACACACATCAGAGGGGACAGGCTACCTGTGGGGACAGGGGTTGCTGTGGATGAAGAGCCACTTGCACGACATTTACTAATAAAGGATGCAGCTGGCTGTCACTTAGGGTTTACTCTATTGTATCGTAAGAGGATGTATGTCTACGTGTGACACATTCTGGAACTCTCCGATCTCACAGTGATTTAGGAGCCCACAGCACCTGTTGCTACTGCACCCGAACACTGGCCACCTCCACTCTACAGATGTCCAGGGGACTGGTGGACACTGCCCCTGCTACCTCCCTCAGTGTCTTGTGTCTTGCGTCAAAGCCAACGGGTGCATGAGGAAAATCCAAGGTGAATGGCCAGCCACCCACCACCGGCACACAAACACTTCCCCAGGAAGCTGGGCTATGATGGTGGTGACCATGTGGTTCTCTCTGTGCAGTGAATACAGCAGGGCTGCCATCACTCAGCACTGACTGGGAATGTGACCCACATGTCCCCCACACACGGGCACTCACCGCTGACTCCCCGGAAGGCACTTGCTGCTTGTTATAGAGGAGAAGTTCTTTCATGTCATTTGTGGAGCACACCTTCTTTAGTTCGTCCTTGATGTGCCAGATCAGATTGTTCTGGGCCTTTGGAAACAATCAGTGCTTCAGACCACCACTCATTCAAAGCAGTTATGACAGCTCCGCAGGAAGGGAGCTGTGCTACCAACCCTGAGGTTGCTGGTTCAAACCCATTAGCTGCTCTTCAGGAAAAAGATGTGCAATCTCCTGCATGCACCCTCAGAAAACCCTCTGGAGGGTGGCTGTCACTCAAAGGCGAGGACTTTTCACATAAATAACAGACAATGAAGAATGTGGTCAGTGATCATAGCTTTACTGAGTTATTCACCAAATGTCCTTCTACTCTGTTTTCCATTCCTCTAATTTTTCACTACGAGAGATCTTGTTAAAAATTATAGAAAAACTTGCTCTTCAAGCTACCAAATGTGAAAATGGTTAAATGTTGCCTACAGCCTGAAGGGTTGGAGGTTCAAATCCACCCAAAAGTGCCCTGGAAGAAGGGCCAGGTGATCTAATTCCAAAAAATCAGGCTTTCAATACCCTAGGGACCAGATAAACTGTGATACACATGGGGTCACCACATGTTAGTCACAGTGCCAACCAGAGGGCAACTGGTAAGAGGTCAAGACACTCTGGCCTTCCAGAATTCAATCTTTAGCCTCCAATGTGTACAAGTGACTTTGAAGATCTAGGTCTATGTTGCTGTTGTTAGGTTCCACCTGAGTACAATGACTCACAGTGACCTTAGGACCACAGACCTGGACCCTGCCCTCTCCTGTGTCATGCTCACCATCTCTGACACATCCGAGCCCATCGCTGCAATCACTGTGTCAATCCATCATGTTGAGGATCTTCTGTTGACCTTCCCAAGCAGGAAGTCCTTCTCTGAGGACTTCCTAACAACATGCCCAAGGTATGTGAGATGAAGCACTGGCACCCTGACCCGGAAGGAGCACTCTGACCAGAACACACAGAGACTCACAATTTATCTGCCAAGTGAGAAGTGTCCACAGCACCTGCTGCGGCTTGGCTTTCACCAGTAACATGCAATCCAGAGTGGAGTCTCTCACAGCTCTGTTGTCAGGGGAAGGGACAATAGCAATCTGGGCAGTGAGTCATACCATGCAGTGATAGCTATCAACTTTCTCTACACTTATTTAATCTGCATGCTGAGCAAATCATTCTGAGAAGCTGCACTCCATGAAGAATGCAACGTAGATAACACAGCTTGCTTAGAGAAAGTGAGGAGGACTTGAACTACATGCTGCAGCAGAGGAAGTCTTTAATACGGGTTACATCTCAACATCAAGATAACAAACTCTCACTACTAGACTCACAGGACACATGCGGGAAAGACTGAGGTTGCCGGGGATTTCATTTTACTTGGATCTACAGTCAACATCCATGATAACAGCAGTCAAGGAAATAGTCTTGCTGTTCTGGGAATACATACTGCCAAGGACCTCTGCAAGTGCTAATAATGAGCAAGAATGTCTGTGTAAAGATAAATGTGTTACCGATCCAAAACAGGGCATTTTCAGTTGCTTTTGATGGATCTGAAGCTGAATAATGGGTAAGGATAACAGAAGATGATTCGATGTCTTTGAATTGCGGCTTTGGAAAAGAGTACTGAACATCTCATGGAGAGCCAAAAAAACAAATGAGCCTTTTGGAAGGAGTGTAGCTACTTAGAGGTAGGGATGAGGAAAGTCAAAGGAAGATCCTCAACAAGCTGGACGGTGCCTGAAACAATGGGCTGGAGAGGTGGCACAGGACGCAGTGAGGCTCAGATCACAGCATCAGGCTAGGAGTTTCAGTTCATCTGAGGACACCTAAGAACAACTTGGAACCCCTTAAAGGTTTTGGTAAACAAGACACATCTCTAGGAACATTCTCCCCAGGATGAGGAAGAAAAGCGGAAATGACGCACAGCTCAAGACATACTTTGAGGGCCTTCTCAAACTTGCGATCCTTTTCCTTTTCTTTTTTAGACTTCTTCTTCGCCACTTCACTAATGCCATCCACTTCATCAGCTTTTCTCTTTCTGAAAGAGACAGACAGGATATAAGAAGCAGAGCCACCTGGAACGTAGTCCAGGTCTTCTAAAATGTTAACTTCTCTCTGCCCAAATGTGTCAACAATTCACCAACATTTCACTCCATGCTTGGCTCAGGGCAGAGGTGGCCTCATGAAGAATTCTCAGGGAAGATGGGCAGGACCCTCACCATTTCAGAACAAGTCACTGTTGGCAATGGAGGGCTGGGGATGCCCTGGACAACTCAGTGTTAAGATCCAGGATTCGGGCCCATTTGGTGTCAGAAACCTTATGTGCAAACCTGGAAGGCTTGGACTGACCAGAGATAAGCTCTTGGAGGACATGGTAAGGTGTCTTTCATTCCAGAGATTTGGTTCCAATCTGAGCTGGTGTACTACACACCCACACACACACCCACACACTGTTAAGATGCTAGACAGGTTTCAATACACCTTCAAGACTAAGACGAGGAAGGGGCCTACTTCTGAAAAACCAGCCAGTGGCTCACAAAGGAGCATTCCCGTCATGTGTGGCACCTGCGAGCTGGGGCCTGCGGACACAAGGCCGAAGGAAGGATTGCAGTGAGGTATCACACTCCTGCCTGTAATGAGCCTTTCAGCTAAGACACAGCAGTCCCAAGGCTAAGTAGTGCTGGCTGATCTCAGATACACTTGCTACTTACATCCCAGAAAAACGAAAGGCCAGGCCCTCTGGACCTGATCGTCCTGCTATGGAGTCCGGCAAGTGCACTATCACCTCAGCTCAGTGACAGAATCCCCAACCTGCAGAAGGGTGCCAAACCCAGCCAGTACAGACCAGATTTCCAGACCTGGGCCGCCTCCTCGTTTACAAAATAGGGAAAAGAAAATCATCTACCCACCTCTGGGGATGGTACTGAATTAGCCATTATAAGGTTTTCATTAAATTCTGATAGTTACCAGGGAAATAAATACACACAGCTCAGGGAGGGACTGCTGGGTCTAAAGACCCGATTCCCTAGTTCTCTCATGCAATCCAGAGCCACCCGTGTTACTGCAATGAAGATGAGCTGACCTATCATGAACTAGAAAAGTGTGTAATGGCAGCATGATGAGGCGGCGGTCAGGGTCATCCTAATCCTACAAAGGCCAGCAGCCCGTGCCCAAAAGGAATCAAGCATCAGAGCACCCCGACACTTCACCAAAGGAATGCTGTTAAGCAAACGACTTGAGACGGAGGCCAAAGGAGGAGAGAATGCCTGAGGCCTCCATGGCCCAACCATTTTTCTCACCCTACATTTTCATACCATATTAAACCTTTGCCATTCTGAATTATAAGCCCGTCTCCTAGTCAAGATGGCTCCCACACATTTTCCCAGCACCATTCTTAGAGACAGATACAGGGACACAGCCCCACAGACAAGTGTCTGAGGCCATGAAGAGACTCTGAACGTGGCTGGGGAGTGTCAGCAAGTGTGGTAGGCAGACTGGGCAGGGGAACGCTCAGAAGGCAGGACATCAAAACAACTATGAGATATCATCTCACCCCAGTCAAAATAGCAAAATTTAACAGAGCAACAAACAACAAATGGTGGCGAAGTTGTGGAAACGGGAAACCTTATTCACTGCTGGTGGGAGTGTAAAATGGTGCAACCACTGTGGAAGGCGGTATGGCACTTTCTCAATGTTGCAAATAGAGATACCATTTGACCCAGCAATTCCACTACTGGGAAACCAGAACAGTCACCCAAGCAGATATATGCACACCCATGTTTATCGCGGCTTTGTTCACAATAGCAAGGAGTTTGAAACAACCTAAGTACCTATCAATAAACGAATGGAGAGAGAAGCTGTGGTATAGTCACACAATACGCTGCATTGAAAAACAAGGAACTCATGCATTATTATTCAAAATGGGTGACCCTGGAGAACATATGCTTGGTGAAGTAAGGACAAATACTGCATGATGCCAACTGTTGTAAAACGGGACTGATATTGGGATTGGTGGGAGACTTGAGAAAGATGGGATAAATAATGTACATGGCATTGAAACAGATGAGGGAGAAAACTGTTTAAAAGGGCTATGTGATTAGGTATTATTGTCATCACAGGAGTCCAGAATGAAGGCTGAATACTGGAGTGGACTTGGGGGGG